TACATCGGAGTATTCCACATGTGGAGCAGAAGCCATATCGAGAATAACAATGGTAAAAGAGTTTATCAGCAACCATGCAATAGTTATCGTCATTAGACTTGGTAAACCCCTTTATCAAGTTGTTGCGACGAAAAAGCCATCCGGTATATCGTCTAAAGTTACTGTCATAATTATCGTACTTGTGTGTTGGAAGTGAGTATATCCTGGCAAACTCACTAACAAAAGTTGGCATACATTCTTCGCTATTTCCAAGTAATACCAGCGTTATTGCATATCGGTTGCGAATAGCGCAGTAAACGTTGTCAATTTGAGTAGGTTTTACGTTGGTGATTCCTTCGTAAGGCATTCAAGTCTTAAATCTTTATATTCACTTTCCAAGGAGGATTCAACCAAGTTGGCAATGGCTGGATTACTAGCAAGTGACGACATAATAATAGTTGAATTAAAAGTCTTATCTCTCAAGTTAAAGTGTCAACCCTTAATTGTGTTACATTGCACGCAAATCGATCGGGCCTCTTATTATTATCGTTAGTCTTGGAAGAATGCGCATTCCGCGTCTCAATTAGTATACCGTACGATAAAGTTTGTATTTGTAGGGTTAGGGTGCAGAGTGAGCTAAAAGAAATTTTATGATTTATTATCTCATGAAGTAATAAATATTTTCTTAATCGCTTTTTGGAGTCTGATAAGATTTGCTGGTTTTCGATAATGGTGTATTTCACCCCAGTATTGATATGGGGACATAAGAAACTGAACATTAATCTTGAAACCTTTTTCCTTATGAACTTCTCTCCTCTCTCCCCCGAACTCGATAAATTAGTATGGCTTAGCTCAATACATTACTGTCACTTAGTTATGAATAGTGATTGTGTGACGTTTATATGATATATTGGTTAAGATAATGTGAGAACATGTAAAAAAGGAAACTAATCAACATTTTCTAGACTTAATGTTATTCGTATGGTGGAAAATTTAAGTTTGTTGTTACCAAGTCAGAAATCTTTTTCTTTGGTGCTTGAAGAGCGTAATTCTCTTTTTCGTGGTTGGCTTTGTTTCGAGAGGTTTGATCTTGGGAATGTTCGTTTACACATTCTCCCAAATGTGAGTCAGCTTCCGATGGTTACTGTTTTCAGGAGTGAGTGCAACCTTACGACGTTTCGTTGGTTGCATGGTTTCGGATAGTGATTGATATAGGCGATTTCTTTGTTCAGAAGCCGCAGTGGAAGAAATTGGATATTAGGTTGATTGTCGTTAATTGTTATGAAATCGAAATTGTGTAATTCAACGTGTAGCACGTTCTCGTGTACATCTAATTCTCCCACAAATGAAATCTTGGAGCCTAAGCTGGCTTTTTTAGTCCGCTCAAAGAGGTTTTTCTTGGTAATGTGATGATGGACCAGTATTTCGAATTCTGCCGATTTTACAGAAGAGCGACTTCCCGAAACGTATTGTGCTGATTGACAATGAAAATAGTATATCATTTCGTATTTAAATAGTCGTTTTTTAGTGCCGTGCTCGTGGAACGCTTGTCGAAGACGTGACATTTGTATGCATTTATCCGTGGGTGAAACGTTAGAAAATATACTTAGTGGTAATAAAGACTTGGTAAACTGAAACTAAGTGAAGAATACATACGGTAATGGTATTATACGTTTAAGTTAGTGATGGTTCCTGCCACTTTTATGATATAATCAGGAGAAAAAGACGTTGTGGTAAACCGTGTGGGATTTTCATTTGGAATGTATACTTTTAAATGACTCGAATAGGTTGATCAGCAAAGTCGAGGAAATGCCGTTAGCTTTAGGCAATTTGCCTTCGAATTTGGGCTGTTCATCGACAGTGAATACGTGAATTGCAGTGGAATCTAAATACACGAGCATTTTGTCAAAATTATTTTCGATTACACGTATGTGGGGTGAAAAAGTTGATGTCTTGATGAGCATTTAGGAGATGGACAAAGAAGTATATACTGTATATACATATAAGATGTGGTCTGGGCTAGCCTGATTTTGGATTGGGCTGTTCATTACGGGCCAGAAAATAAATTGAGTCAGAAAATTTAATTAGTCTTATTAGTAGATCGGACAATAGTATCGTGAAATCCATATTTAGTTTGAGACAGCATATTGTAAACTGCAGTGAATGACATAAAAAATTTCTTTCATAGAAAAGTGTCGAATATGATTATGGTAGCCTTAATATTATTGATAAGATATAAAATAATATTATCAAAGTTACAAGTCCATATTTTTATATAAATAATTTGTATTGTTAGATATGATAAGAAATTTACGGTAACAATAGCATAGCGTAATTTCAATCCATATTAATATGCAAAAAACTATACAAATAATATTGTGAAATGATTACAAATCTTGATTTAAGTATGAGGCGCATTAAACGTAAAAAATAAGTACAAGCGTTTATTTGAGACAAGTTTATTTTTGATCTAGTCAACAAAAATAATAATATATTTATACTGTACAGTACTGTCTGATATTTAATTACTTTACTCATTTTCGGGGGGGAAGTGAGGTAGAAAATTGTGGAGGAAAAGGAAACCCATAATTATAATTGGTAATTGATTGACGTGGTAGGTTGAAAAGAAATATGCAAACCAATTTGCAGTAAATAAGTTGAGTGTAAGTACGCAAAAAATTTGTATATACACCCACATTATATGGATTAAGGAACCTCCTTTTACTTTATAATTATGCCCATAATGTTGCAAAAATCGATACTCGTTTATTACAATATCTATTATCTCTTCCTGATCTGCTATTAATATTAATTCCTGAAAACCCCGTTTATGATAGTTTTTGCGACGAATCGATTCTGGATCGAGATTCAAGCTCTGATAACATGTTTATTAATAACTTTTATATAAGGTGTAGATTTATTCAAAATCTTTTTATCGTGCAGACATGGAAGTTATTCACGCGATTAAAATTTGTGGGACGGGCCGTCTTGAAAAAATGCCAAGAAAAATTTTCTGAATTTTAATTAACTACGCGACTCATCTGAATCCTCTGAATTAGAATCACGTTTCTGATCCAACGTGTGAAGAAAAAAATGGTTGCCTATAATATACGGGAAAAAAATATATTTCATAGGCTTACATTGGCCTTTGATGGTGATGACTTTGTTTGATTAATGTCACTAAACTTTCTTTTCAAAATCTGAACTTTGTCATTATCATGTTCTACTTTCACGGTACTTTCTGACTCCGCCTTAATGACCATTTACATAATTAATTCAGAATGAATAACTGAAAAATCAAAAGATGTAAAAGATAAAGATAAACTTACGATAAATTCTAGTAATTTTAATATACCCGCCTTCATCATATGAATCTTGCTCGAATGAGAAGCAACAGTGAAACTCCCAAA